ATTAAGTTGGTCTGGGTGAGAAGGGTCAGGAAGCAGTATTGGTTCCCCCGTGTCTGGGGCCCCAAGTCTAGGGATGGCGCAGGTACCAAACTAGGATTAGCGAACAGCGGGGGAGATGGAAGGGTGAATGTGACTTGGGGAGTCAAGGTGTGGAGGGCTGCGCTATAGACTTACCCCAAGAGGCCTGATGATAGGAGTGCAGGCTAGGAGAGTTAGCCGGTGGTGCAGGTCCCGGGATGGAGAGAGAGGTGAGGGCGGAGCCAGGACCAGAAGCAGTGCTCCCCAAGAGGCATGAGGATAGGAGTCAGGATTTGTTGTTTTATAGACTTCTGTGCTTAGAAACCAGGTCCTTAGAGATGCAATCTAGGAATATTAACATTTCTAAGGATTCCAGGTTTAAATTTCAGTTAAATAATTCAATAATGTTATTATGATGTAGTTACTATAGAATCCCCTTGTTTTTAGCTTTTTAAAAAATCGCTGATTATATATGCTTATTCCAAATAATTCATATATTATAGAAATATAAAAATGAAGTTTTCCCATATAGGAGTAACCACCTCAAAATGATTTGGTGTGTGTCCTTCTAATTCTTTCTTCTGTATAGTAACGTAATAGAAATATATGTTTCTGGGAGAGAGCATTATGATTTTAAAATGAGAGCACACATTATACCAGTATCTCAAACATAAGTAATGGTCATTGCACATCAGTGCAGTTAGATCCAACTCACTCTTTTTAGTGCACAAAGTAAGGCATCATGGTAAAAATATGCTATAATACTTAAACTATTTGTCATTGATGTGCATTTAGCATTTCTCCTTTTTATTCTTATAAACACTGTAATATTCTAGTTCACATAGTCTTTTTATTAAAAACCTTTTTTAAATTTAAGTTTTTATTGATGTGTGGGCATGCATGTGTGTGTGCACATGCAAGCACACACACTCAGGTTCATGAACATGTGGGGCTCAGTGTATAACTTTCAGTAGTTGGCTCTCTTCTTCTGCCATGTTGGCTCCAGGAATGAAATTCCAGTTATCAGTTTTGTCAGGAAGTGTCTTCACCCACTGAGTCATCTCACCAACACTATATATTCTTTTCTCTTTTTTTCTTCTTGTCTTATCTATCTTCATATTATTCTTACTGTTTGTATTCTTTTTTAATATTTTATTTGTTATTTCTATTTTATGTGTATGCGTGTATTGCCTGTATGTAAGTGCACCTGTGTCGTGCAATGTCTTGGAGGTCAGAAGAGGGTTTCGGATTCCCCTGGAACTGGAGTTAAGTGTGACTTGTATCTGTAACCCCCACTTGCTAATATCCAACTGAATTTCTGTACAACCAAATTTGTATTGAATGCTATCATATTGGGATTTAAGCAAAACACATTTGTGACATGCCTTTTCAGTAATAGTGTTTTCTAGAGAGATGGCTCAGCACACAGTGCTATTTCAGAGGATTTGAGTTCAGTTCCTAGCACCCATGTACTTTATATAAATTTTTATTTTTAATATTCATTTTTTGTATCTGACTTGTCAGATGCCCTTTAGCTAGCATTTATAGTTTTCATCATGTACATCTTAAACATTCTTATTGGATTTATTGTCTCTTGATGTATTTTTGTGGCCAAATTGAATGAGGTCTTTTTTCTTTACATTTTCTAATTCTTTATTGCTATGAATGTAAAGGCTCTTGGTTTGGACTTTTTGCACTGAATGCAATGTTTTCACTGGGTTTTCCCAGTGTCCTCAATAAACAGCATATCATTTCCAGTCTTAGAGTTTTAACCCTTATATTTATACCTCTCTTCTTTCATGTGTATTATTCCATCATCTCAAACCTTAAAAGATTATTGAATATTAGCAATAGAAGTAGACTTCTTTACCTTATTTCAAAATTTGATAGGGATGCCTCTCATATTTTATTACTATTGATTTTTGAAGAATGTTCTTTAACAAATTAAGGAAATTCAATTAAGTTTCTAAGATGAAAGTCTAGGGATTTAGTTCAGTAGTGGAGTGCTTGACGAGTTTGCACAAGGCCCTGAATTCCATGTGCTGCACACAAACATACACACACTCACACACAAACACACAAGTTCTAACTGAAATTTGAATTAAAGTATTAAGACTGAGAGTTAACTTTGAAAGAATGAATTTTGTATCTTGAGATTATATGGCTTTTAACTTTATTAATGTGGTAAATTTTATTAAGGAATTGCTAACATTGGAATTCCATTGCATTTTTGAAATTATCTTAATTGGCCGTAATATTCATTAATGTTCTGCTTTGATAATTTTACTAAATAGTTTAGTAAGGTTTTCTGCATCAATGTTAAAGTTACATTGATTTAAACATTTCTTTTTGTGAGTGCTAATTTTTATATCAATTTTGTTTATGTCATAGTATGACTATTATAATGGCCTCATATTTTTCTAGACTTTGAAATACCTTAGATTATATAAGAATTACCCATTACTAGAGCATTTAGGAAAACAAGCCTATAAAAGCATTTGGGTCTGTGGCCTTTTGGTAATAGTAGATCTTTGAGTCCCTTTTCAGTTCTGTCTATTCAAATTTTCAGTACTTCTGAGTTACCTTTTGTCATTTATATATTTGTGGGGAATTATTTGTTCTGATTTTCAAACATTTTCACACAAAGCTTACAGACTTCACTCAACAACTATTTAATGCTACATTCTGTATGATGGACACTATAATGACTTCCGTCTTAATATTTTATTTATGTGTATGAATGAATGTATTGCCTGGGTGCATGTAAGTGCACCTGTGTCATGCAGTGCCTGAGGTGGTCAGAAGAGGGCATTGGATCCCCTGGAACTAGAGTTACAGATGGCTGTTAGCCACATATGGGTGCTAGAACCTGGGTTCCCTGTAAGAGCAGGCAGTGCTCTTTACTGCTGAGCTATCTCTCTAACCCCTACTTTCATATCCATGATTATATTTTTGCCCTTTTAAAAATTGTACTACAAGCTGGGTGTGGTGGGAAACACCTTTAAGCCCAGCACTGGGGAGGCAGAGGCAGGGAGAACTCTGAGAAATCAAGGCCAGCCTAGTGTACATAGGAAGTCCCAGGGGGGCAGCTGGGGCTACAGAGAGACCCTGTCTCAAAACGACCAAAAATAAAAATTATTACATTTATCTATTTGTGTATGCAAGGGGGAGAATTGTGTGCCATACATGCAAGCCAGAGGACAACGTTTGGGACAGTCAGTTGCCTTTTCCTTGTGGGTCCTGGGGATTGCCACCATGCCTCACGTTATCAGGTGTGGTGGCAAGTGCCTTTATCCACTGAGCCATCTTGCTCAGCCAATACTTAATGATTTTCTTCTGTTAGATGTTTCTTTGTGATGTCTTTTTATCACATCTGCCTAAGATCTATTTTACTTTTTTCAGTTAGTCATCTTTTCTTTGTTAAGTTTGGTAATTCTTTTTTAATTTCTATTCATTCTGGCTTTCATTTTTACCCTTGATATTAAATTTCTTAAGGACTGTAATGTTTGAACCATTAGTGCTTGTTCTTCATGTAGTAGGATGAAGTCACTGATTTTCTTTTTTAATTGAGCTTTTAAAATTTCATACATTTCCCACTCAAATCCAGATCCCCTCCCCCATCCATGCATTCCCCTATCCCCCCAACTGAACACTATGCACTCCGCCATACATGCTGAGTCCTATTCATTCAGGTGTTTGTACCCAAATGTCCTTCAGTGTAAATGTGTCCACTGTAGTCTCATCAGCCCATCCAGTGGTTGTATGTAATTTACACTCTCCCTCACCCAGCAACAACCAGTCTCAAATAGTTCTCCATCTAGTGCAGGCCAGCCAGCTATTTCTCACGCCCCCCCCCCTTTGGGCCCTTGTTTAGTTGAGCTGACATGGGTCCTGCATTCAACGCCACCACTGCCGCAGCCCACATGAGCAAGCCTCCAATGGCCTGGAAGCCTCTACCTCCTTATGTTCATGAACCAGCCCTGGCTCTTACAATCTTTCTGCTTCCTCTTCCACAATGGCTCCTGAGCCGTGGGTGGGTGAGGTTCCATATAAGAATCCCATCCTACACTCTACAGCCTCTTAGTCTCCAAAACTTGACCAGTAGTGGCCTTCTGTGTGTATCTCACTCTGACGTACAAGGAAGCCTCACTGGTGAGACTTGAGGGGTGCATTAGCCCTCGCTCTACTCCTTATTTTGCTATGTTCCATGAGCCTTGGTTGTAGAGATTCAACTGCAGATGTGTCACCTAGTAGTACTGGGCCTCTCCTAGGTAGGTGTATGTTCTCTGTGCCTGACCAGATATGCAACTCTACAGTAGCCTACATCTGTTGCAAAAAGAAGCTTCTTTGATGAGTGCTGTACAGCATGTTTGTCACTCTAATGGAGGTCACTTCTATCTGGCATGGCTTTCCCTGCCAAGCAGCTCCTAGGTATACATAGGCATTAATGTTCAAACACTCTATGTGCATTTCTCATAGGGTTTCTAGGGCATCACTTTTCCCTCTAGGTTTCCTAGCCCCCCAAGATTCACTCATCTCCACTCTTTTCTCCCATCTATCCTCCCTCCTCCCTCCCTTCCTAGTCACAGTACCCCATTAAGCTTATTCTTTCCCAGATTCAATTTTTTCAGGCACAGAGGAGATCTACAGATACCTTTAACGTGTTTAATGTCAGCCTCACTTGATGACTTACTAAATTGCTTCTGTAGCAAGAGAAGGATATGCTGAATGCAGCAGTACTGTTGTTTATTATTGAGTGGTTGTCCCTTGGGTATGAACACATGATGATCAAAGTACATATCAGAACAGAATTGAACTCTAGACTATGTACAACTTTTTAAAAGGGTAAAGTAGGTTCATTTATGTAGTTCATTATTTCTCTTGAAAGTTATGAGAAAAATATTTTCTTCTGACAGAAGTGAATTCAAAGAGACTTTCTATACAGAAGTATTATATCTAAATTGCTTTTGATCTCTTTAAAGTTGCGTGTGGTATCACAAGATGTGAAAATGAAACCTCATGAATTGGATGAACTTTATGTCATCTTTAAGGTACTGTGGTTCTACTTTAAATGAAAACTAATGATCTTTTAGTAGAGTTTTATCACACTCTTAAATATTTTTGTCTTTTTAACAGACATGTTTAAAGCAAAAATCTTTTATTCTGTTTTTCTGATTTGATGTCTTACATTTTTATTTGTTCTTTATAGAAAGAACTGTTTATATCTTGTTACTGGTGTTCGAGCTGTCCAGGATTGAAGCACCATGACCCCAGTCTACCTTATTTGGAACAATATCAGATTGACTGCCAACAATTCAGAGTATTGTATCACTTGTTGAGTCCCTGGGCTCATTCTGCAAACAGAGACTCACTAGCTTTATGGACATTCAGATTGTTGGATGAGAATTCTGATTGCCTTATAAACTTCAGAGAATTTTCCTCTGCAATTGGTAGGCTGATGCCTCATAACTTTTAAAATCAAGCATAAATGCCCTCCCTTGAAAGTAGTTTAGACATACTGTATTACCATAGATTATATTGTCTTCAACCTTAGTAATCACTAGCCTTTTTTTAATGTGTTTGTTGCTAACCTCAAACATATTGATCTCATTTTGCCCCAACCCTCTCAGAAAAGCAAGCTGTTAAAGGTGGATGTTTTATGGTTAGCAGGAAGCAAGAGAATGTCTGTTTTTCCACTTTCAAATGAACGGATGCAACAGGACATTCCCCTTCAGTAAAAATCCAACTACATACCCTGTAGAAGTGGTGGAAAAATATGGAGAAAATGCATTAATATGTCATGCTTAATTTGTTTCCTTGTTTCCTATCACCCCCACAGCAATAATTTCTTTTCAAAGGTTGTCCCTTGAAGATAAGTTCTTTCCTAAAACGAGTCCTAACACCCATTCAAAAGGAAAAGGGAAATTTGAGGTTGAGGAAAGGAGCCAGTCAGGAGCATTTTAATCCTTTAATGGATGGAATATTTTGGTTACATGTGTGAAAGAGAGAAACAGTGATTGTTTGACTGTTAGCTTAAGTAATACAAACGATGTTGTTGTTGAGACAGGCTTTCATGTATAGTAAACAGAAAGTTTTGAATCCTAAGTCCTGACTAGTATCTGTATCTTAGAATAGTGGGAATTGATTGAATGTGTAGGTACTTGATTTTTTCTAATTAAATTGTATTGAACAGATATAATGTACAATGGAAGTTTTACTGAGAAACTTAAGCTGCTTTTTAAGCTGCATATTCCTCCAGGTAAGTATTTTTTAAATATTTTATGTGTATGTTTTGCCTGCATGCATGTATGTATACCATGTGTGTGCACTGCCCATGAAGTCCAGAAGAGGGTATTGAAGTCCCTAGAACTGGAGTTACAGGTAGTTATTAGCTACCACATAGGTACTAGGAACCAAACCAGAATCCTCTACAAGAGCAGCCAGTGCTCTTAACTGCTCAGCCATCTCTCCAGACCCTCCAGGTAAGATTTCAACAGTTTTCAATGTTAGACAGTAATAGTTCATTCCACTGTAACAGACATAATTACAGATATTATCCCATTTTCTCAAATGATTTTGATTATTTGCCAAACATCACATAACTGATAACTTGTACAGCTGTGATTCAAGGAAACTAAGGTCTGACTCCAAAGTTCGGTTTTGTTCTATTCTACCATATTTCCTCAAAGTCTCCATGCCATTTCAGTTTATCTAAATTAATTTCGACTCACCTAGAGTATTATTTTCCAACACATCTCTACTCTGAAATAATCTTTGACTTTAAACTGAAGAAACATTGCAAAAAATAGCTTGGGTTGGGTAATTCATGAAAACAAACAGCATCTCATAATTTGTTTAAAGCTATCCTAGGATTTCTTTTAAAGATGTTTCAGGTGCAATCATTAGTTAACAGACCAGCAAACTGAAAACGTCTTTAACCCTTTACCCACTCAAATCAAAAACAGTGTTAAAAGAAAAAGAGAAACCATATCATAATATAATTATAAAATAATTTGTGTTATTAAATTAGGTTGCCATTAAATTGTTTAATTTTTACATTTAATGCACTGTCAGTAGGGGTATTAAATGTGGGGAGATGTGTTCCTATGAAATTGCAGGCGGGAAGTAAAGCACATAGCTTCATGTTTTCCATATTTATCAGTGTGAAAGTTTTAAATAGCTGGGTTTCCATGGTCAGAGATTTTTAAATGCCAGATTTTCTTATTTCAACTTATAGTAACTCTTAAAAAATATTAAAAAGCAAGTAGGCATGCTCCGGTGCATGGCCCTACACCCATGCACACACAAGGAGCACCAAGTGGACTCTGGGTTTTTTAAAAGAGCACGTGAATTAGGGAGGAAATAGCGGTAGGAGGATAGGGGAGGCAAGGAGGAGAGAGGATGAGGTACATTTAGTCAAACACCTATGTGTGCATGATTTCTCAAACAGTAAAAAGAAAAATAAGGAAGTAGGGGAAACAATAGAACTCAACGTGATCAAATACTTACAACAAACAGCAATATTGCTTCCACATTTCTTTATGTGCATGTTTCTTATAGCTCTTATAACAATGCTTTAATTTCTGCTCTTATATTTACCTGAGCATTATGAAAGCCATCTGTGTCCTTCATTGTTAGCAAATATGATTTGGGTTACATATTTTCAGCTTATACTGAAGTGATGTCTAAGGATTCTTCAAAAGGAGATGAACTTTCCACAGAAGAATTGCTTTATTTCAGTCAGCTCCACAGTAAGTATTTGTTGAAATGTCTAAGTGCATTCGTGCCATTTCTCTAGCTGGTCTCAAACTCCTAGGCTCCAGTAATCAGCCTGCTTCAGCCTCCCAAGTAGATGACACTACAGGTATTTGCCACAGTGCCCAGCTAATTTAACTATTTTGATGATTGGTTGTGTGTAGAGATCTTTCTGACTTAGGTTCATTGTACCTTTTATTCTTTTGTACTACAATAGACTTTAACATAACCCTATAAACATCTGACCCATTAACAAACCTGTGTTTAGCAGCTTTAATATTTTTGAAATTTCTTATTAGAGAATTGGAAAACACATTTTATTTTGCTTTAATTGAGATAAAGAAAAAATTCTAAGTTGTATCAGATCATATTTATGCTTTGGTGAAGGACAATGGAGATGATTTGATATTTGATGATTTAAAATTAAAGCTTTATTTAAGCTAAATATTTTTAATTTATATTTATTTATTTTTATGTATATAAGTAATATGCCTGTGTGTGTGTAAGTGCACCCATGTTGTACAGTGGCTGAGGAAGACAGAAGAGGGTGTTGGATTCCCTGGAACTGGAGTTATAGATTTATAAACGATACTTATTTGCCATGTGGGTGCTGAGAATCGAACCAAGGTCTTCTGCAATAGCAGCCAGTGCTCTTAACTACTGAACTATCTTTACAGCCTCTGTAAATACTTATTATAAGTCATTGAATGTGTAAAAGGTATAGGGACGAGTCTACTTTTCTGACATAAATTGGAAGTGATATTCACTTGTTTCATTTACTTCATTTTCATAGATGTGCAATGGTCTTACAGTGGAAGGTTTGTTAATGTGTCTATTTGGTTACTATAAATAAACATTAAAAGAACCTCAAAAGTCATTTGTTTAAGTCCGTCTATTTTCTACTGAGCCCAGGAAGAAGGCATTTGTACAGGGTTTCACAAAGACTTGGGTCCGCACTCAGGATTTATGAGCTCATTTCTCTGACTTCCATTATGTATGGGATTTCTTCCCAACAATAAAAGTAATGTAATTAATTTGAAAGATGTAAAATTAAAAGAATTATTACCCACAAATAAGTACTTAAATTTGATGCATTGCCTTGTAGGATTTTTAATGAATTTATTATTTTTATTATATGTGTATGAGTGTTTTGCCTGCATATAGATAAGTGCACCCGTGTCATGCAAAGCCCACAGAAGCTAGAAGAGAGTTTCTGATCTCCTGAAACTGGAGTTACTGATGGTTTTCAGTCACCATATGGGTGCTGGGAACTAAACTTGGGTCCTCCTCTGCAGGAGCAGCAAATGCTCTTAACTACTGCGCCGTCTCTCCAGCCCTCTAAGATTTTATTATTTATTGTTATTTTATTGAATTTTTGAGATTTCATACAATATAACTTGATGGTATTCAGATCCCCTCCCCTATCCCCACCTCCACTTACTGCACCCCCACCCAATTTGATGCAATTCTGTTATGTATAATAAGGCCTATAGAGTCTAAGTTGTGTCTCCAAATGTCCTTCAGTGTGAGTCCATCCACTGGAGGCTGGTTAACCTACCAAGAGTCTCATCCTTGAAAGAGACTGTCTCTGTCCCTCCTCCCTCTAGGATTTTTAATGTGACTATTTCAGTAGTGCTTTTTTCTTGTACTATTATTTTTTAATACTTTGCATTATAATGCCAGGAGGTCAGTTCAGCTGAAATTGCTTTGGTGAATCAAAACAAACATATGTGCTTATAAATATTTGTACAAAATACTATTTTCCTTTTAAAAGATATTTGTTATGTATTTTACAATATGCAATTGCCCTCTTTTCCCTTTAGTTTCCAAGCCTGCGAATGAGAAGGAAACAGAATCAGGAAAAAATAGTCCTGAAAAAGGTAGTATGATAATAATCTAGGAATATCATTCAATTTACTAAATTACTGCTTCTATAAATAGGGGGAGGAGATAGATTTCTTTAAAGGCTGGAAATTTGTCCTGATATGAAAAATTTTTGTTATGTCATGTTAGTTTGACAGTATGTTCTTTCTTATCATGATACTTAAGTCTCAGAAGTTATAAATATATAATACTAAATGATCCATATTCCTTTTATCATTTAGAGATTTTATTTTAATAGCAAAAGTAGTAGGCAATGCTGATCACTAAAATTCAGACATGTAGCTTTCTTAGCCCTACCCAATCCAACCTAGAAGTAAAGGCTGAGAGCATTTTGGCTATATCCTTTCCAGACCAATTTCTGTGTATACATAAACATATGTAGACCTCTCTCTTTAAAAAATATTTGTAAATGCTGTTCTATTGTTTGCTGGGTTTGATTTTGTAATATATCCTAGATAATTGTCCATGCCAGTACATTTGGATCTACTTTATCCTTTTGTAAAAGAAAACATAATATATTATTTATTTAATTGAAAAATTCTTTAAACTACAAAGAGCTTATTATCCATTTGAATT